AAGGGTACACAGGATTTTGCGAGGACCATTCCATTGATTCAGGGATCGTTTGTACATAAATATGAGATGTAAGTAATCAGAATGATTCTGACTATCTGTGTATTGTTATATGTGGTTTTTTTATTATAAGTAAGAGAAGAAGCCAGAAATGCAGATAATTACCGTTGTCATTCTGCGTGATTTTGCGTCAGTCATGGCGTCACGCTGAATTATCAAATCATTGCATTGTATCTATATATAATTTCCTATTTCTTGCTACGATACTCTTCCCATGCATATTACAAAGGTATTGAGCCATTGCAAACAATGATTAGACGGATGAATGTTGAAAATTTCAGAAAATGCTACACAGTGTAAAATCGGGAATTTGTCTTTGTTTTTATTTCAAACAAGGGCAGTCTTTCGAGCACATTGTTCGTTTTCACTCCGAATATGTTTCGTCTCATTTTATCTAGACAGTTGGTATTGGTGACAAAGACCAGTTGCAATTAGATTCTAAAATGTATGGGGAATTCAGTGATGCATTTTTCGAAGCTGAATATGAAATATATGTGATGTAATAGGCGACTCAATACCGGCCTTCGCAAAACGTGATTTTGTAAACACTATCCAATATGGCGGAAAGTGCTCTACGGCGTTCGTGTTAGTGTATTTTCGAAAACATCCCAACCAATTCTAGATTCATCGGCAATGTTTCACAATTACCATTAGCGATTTCATGTAAAATTGATATCAGTGATCATGAATATGTTATTTTTGAAATTCAATACTCCCAGTAATTATCCGATTTTCACATTTCAAAACATACAGCAAATAACGCTGTGAATCGCAATTTCATACTGTGTGAAAAAATGGCCACATTTTCGATGAAGCCTATTTTGAAAGGTCATTTACAGCACTTGAGCTTGGTCTAAAATAATAGTGGATGGTATCAAGAAACGGGAAATTTCCCACAGAATTCGAAACTGTGAAGTGTATTTGTGTGCGTGGGATATTTTTATTTTTATTGGACTTCAATTTGAGGATTGAAGGGGAAGGACATATATATCCCTGTGGCACCCAGGGGGTTAAAATACACCTCTTCAAACCCATCTAAAATCTCATTATGCCTGGTTGTGAACAAAATGCATTTTTGTGTTGTTGTTTTTCCTACATCTGTCCCAATAAGCATCAACCACAAAGGTTACTCTAGGTAAGCATCCATGTCTTACTTGCAAACACACTTTGCTTGCAAACGACCAACACTCACTTTGTTGTTACTTTGTACTGACAAGGACCATTGTAACCAGTTCATCAACCTCTGGGAGACAGACTATTAAACTTACACGCATAGATATCAGAAAGAAACGACTTAACAGTAATTCTCAAAGATATAGAACAAAGCCCTTAATCAGCTGACAAACTATAACATTCCAGCAACAGCAACCAGATCTCCTGTCAAATAAAATTTCTCAGTCATCTGTTACAGTGCTCTTGGTACAAAAGAATGGTGTATCCAATTTTTTTCTGATGTCTGATTTTTGGGTATGAAGTAATATCAAGCTAAGTATGTTGGTTCTAAAGTGGACAATGGTTTTGGAATAGCTCTGTATATGACAACAAGTAATATCAGTGTATGAAATAAGCCAGAAACACAGCAAGACATCAAGGCTGGTAACTTCAAAATGTTACCAGCCCACATGGAATTTAACCAGACCAGACACCAAGATATGGTGAATTTACTCAGATGTATGGAACATCTAAAAAATTACCAGACCATCGAGCTGGCATGGTGTAAATTTTGACTGTCCATCAGAAATCTAGCCCGTCTCGGGTGGTCGGACGGGCCTTATTTCATACACTGGTAATATGCAACTTGAGATTGGCCAAGTGATATGTTACAATAACCAAAGGTTGTCGTTGCTATTGATAAACAAACAGTTGGTATCAATTCTGATTTTAACACTCCCTTAATAAGTTGGAGCAGGTTCACTCATGATTTGGTTTCTTCTACATAAAATAGTCTTCAGATACATACAACAGCCCTGTAATTGCTACAATCCCAGCCCTGAGTTTTGACTGAGCCAAGTAGCTGTATTAGCAAATTAATTCAAAAGTCAGGATACAGTACTTCCTAATTTACCCAGAATTCAGATGCAGCTTTGCCTGCAAGCTCTCTAGAGATAATCCTAATGCCTTTAAATGCTTTGTTATCCACTCTTTTGCACCATCCTTATAACAAAGTGGTGTAGGTGTTGGAGCAGAACTACTGCCACCAATAGTTAAAGCGAGAGCCAAAGTTGAAATAATAAATCTGAGTGCAGTTTTCATAATGAAAAGATGTGTAATTTCTGCAACACAGCATCTACCAAATTTGACTAGTGCATGTGTAAGTTTTGTTTTCTCATAAGATATATATGCTTGTACACTTATTTCTCTAAGATAATGGGTAAATTTAAAGGACCTAAAATTATCTCTGCTTCACCATTGAGCACAAACAAAATGGCACTGTCTGTTCCCGCAAGATCCACATTCCAACTCCTCAGAACTTGTGGTCATGCCATGTTCCTTTGTATCTCAATGTTAAGTTTTTTAACACTTTCTCATGATGCCTTTGAGAAATATCTGATGGTTGAAAAGGGGGATCAAGAGTAAAATGACTGGCGACACTGACAGGGATTCCATTACCTTATCATCAGGGCACATGGATAGGAAGACTCATTCCTCAGAGGTCTGCAAGGACCGTGTGTCAGCTGAGCAGGATGATGCATCATCATACAACCTGGATCTAAGAGTAGGAGTATCGGACCACATGTAAGCCAGATACATGTTTTCGTCAATCAGTGTATTTTTCCATGATGCCACGCTACCTTTTTCCCGGATCAGGAAGAATTTGCTACCAAAATACAGTGGTCGGAAGCATGTTTGTTTAATATCCAGACTAAGAGGAAGCTTCAGCAATTATTCTTCAGGCAAAGATTACTAATAATCTCAACTCTAACCTCACTTCTGGGGAGATATTTTCTTGATGGGAAAGATACTACGGATAATAAAGATTTACTGGACAGTTCAACTTCTTTGGATAAAGAATTCCACATTCCAGAGCATCTATCTATCAAAGAATGGAAGATCCAGGATTTTGATAAAAGACTCAGACTTATACACAATCAAAATGGATTAAACTACTGGTTTGTGTCTGGAGTCTGGAGGATGCTCTCATCTATAAAGGATCCTGACTTTGCTGAAGACCCCTCTGTTGTCACGATGGAGATTACAGGGTACACTGTCCAGATGCTACATGGTTACCTGGACAGGTAGTTTCAACTCTCAGACAACAGCAAGCCAGACAGTTCATGCTCCTCAGATGAGATCACTACCTTCACCAACTCAGGTCTTCCATATTGTTGGCATCCCAGAATATGCTCTTTTCTCAGCCCTTGTTGGAAAGATTATTCAGTAGATGCAAGGTGACCCTAGATTCTGGACCACAGTTAAGGCTTCCACATCCTCATACCTATCATCAGGGGCCCTGCAAGAACCAGACTGGGTGGAGCCCACAGAAGAAGTTTTAGGGGGTGGACCTGTGACAGTGCCACAGAAGCAGGAGAAAGACCAATGCCAGAAACTTTGAAAGAGGACATTCTGGAAAGGAGGGGAAGCCAGGACGGAAGCCAACCTTAACTGCTCTTGGATTTCTGCACCGTCAGCTCCTTAACATAATAACTAAGGACTTGTCCAATGACTTTACCATGCAGATGTCTATCAGCATCTACAGATAGTTGGGCCGTTATCGTGAGATTCACATGCCCTTCTACCAAGCGACCCAAGGTGACAGGTTAGAAAATGAACTCACTTGTGATGACAACAGTTGAATTATCAAATCTAGTGACACAGAAGATAGCTATGCAATTGTTTTAAAACCCTGTCAAAATGTTGTAATTCCAACCAAGAATGTTTGAGATGAAGTTTGAAAATTGTTAGCAGAAACTAGGCACTCTAAATTAACTCATTAAAAAATGACCAACCAGCTTTAGAAAATGTGGCAAACTGCTCAACAAAATATAGCCACTGCTGTGCAGTTGAACCCATACAATGTTTTACAATAAGTTGGTGGCAAATACTGGGGTTTCTACAGTTTGTATTGGATATTTGTATGTTTGTAGTTTAAAATTATATATTGACTACTATAGTACATTAAAAGATTAAATCCAATAATCTTCATGAACATTTGCTCCTACAGTCCATCACTACAGAACATAAAGAAAGACTTGCAGCTGGGGGAAATGTGTTCAATACTTAAGGGAAAATTATACAACCTAAATAAAATGCCTGATGAAGAAATTAAGAAGCTACATGTTGGATATAGGGCTAGAAGACTGAGCAATGATTGAAAAGTAGGTACTGCTGTGTTACAATTATACACAGTTATTGTTGGTAGGTTTCTTCCTATTCCTCCAGAAGATCAAGCAAAGCTTGTTATGTGTCTTGATGAAGAATACTTTAAGTGCAGTAAGCTGTGGAATGATGATGTGGAATGTTCTCAGCACCAGTTTCTGCTGCTATAACAAGGCTAAGTACTATCAATATAAACACAACTGTCCACTAATTTTAATGATGGAAACCCCGCCAGTGGAGTGGAGAGAGTGACCAACAACTAAGAATGTAACAGCAGGTGAAAAGGGACCTGCAACTAGAAAGTCAAAACTACTAATAGTTGAACAGAGTTCGATGTTTGATTGGCATTTTAAACAATAAAAAGAAGATGAAACCCAGAAAAGTCTCTATGTTCATTGAACAGAGTTCACAACATGAGAGCAGTTCAAATTATCAAAAACTATTTTGTGTCAGTTTGTTAGTAAAAAAGAACATGTATACTATATTTTCATGCAGGAATTGAATGCTTTCCATCCATGAATCCATACTTTTGAAAGTATTGTTACCATCTAGAATGTGTTTGGGGTTCATTTATACAGTAGCCAGATTTTTATCAGTGTTAAACAAAAACACATGATATTTTACAGGAAATAGAATTTCACACCCGAGAGCAACAGGACCTGCAGGAGGTGATTCAAGACACTGAGGCAGAGGTTGATCACATGCTGAGAGATCCACTGACAAATACAAGGCTGCAGATGTTTCCAGAGTTTTATTCCTCAACACAAAAGTAATAATTTGCTTTTCCCTTTTGAGTCAAGGACTCTTCTTCTTTGAACAGAATGTATATAATTCTTTTGAATACAAAACCTCTATTACATCAGGCCAGAAAAGCTGTATTTTAGCCATCATTACACTGTGTGATGTGAAGATTATCAACTGTCAACTATCCAGAACCAGTTGAGATACTCAGGAACTTTCATTAACCTCTTCTTTCCAACATTAGGGCCTCGTTTCACAAAGCTCTCGTAAGCCTAAGATCTCGTAACTTTTCTCGTAGCATTCGTACGTCCTATGTTACAGTACAGCAGGTACCAATGCTACGAGAAAGGTTACGAGATCTTAGGCCTACGAGAGCTTTGTGAAATGGGGCCCTGCTCCATTGATGCAAATGATTAGGTAGGTAGGTAGGTTGCATTACTACAGATGTAAAAGGGGTCGTAGAAGATTTTATTAACATCTCACTTGTATACAACATTGGATAAAGTTATGTGACTATAACATTCTAGCACCTAACAGGCAGCTTGGGTTATCCAGGGTAATAATAATCAGATTCTGATTACAGCGTCCAGTGAGCATCTTGTCAGATGGATACTAGGCACTATATAAATGAATTATTATTATTATGTTTTACAGATTAAACATAGTATGCAGCAGAGAGGGTTCGGGTGATCCTGGCACAGTCAGGCTGGTAAGGCTCATCATCAGCTCAGGGCCCTTGCCCCCTCTACACGCAGCCCAGACAGCGAATGGGATTTCTCCCAGGAAACGCTGCCTAGTCGAGCCCACCAAGAACTTTCCGGAGAATATGAAGGCTCCCCAACACTGCAGCCTTCTGCATTACCCAGAGTGTCAGAAGGGCTGTGCTCCCGGTGGAGAACCCGGGCACTCTCCTGATCTGCGCCAAGAGATCAGGAGGTACCAAACCAAGGGCACCAAGAACAATGGTGAGCCTGACGACAGTGTACTTGGGATGCAAGCGAGACTTTTCAAAGGCGAGGTTCGCATACTTAGTATGCTTTTCCTGAATCTTGCCAATCACATTGGTGTCAAAAGGGACAGAAAATTCAATGATATATATAATTTCATTGGTTTTATCAAAAAGACAAGATCAGGTTTGTTGGCTGGAATTCTTCTGAGGCAGTATATGGGCCTATTCCACAGAAGTTTGAAAGCATCATTTTCCATGACGCCCTGGACATGTTCAGGGTCGTACCATGGATGGACCTCAGAGTCAAAGGTCCAGGCATGTCGGAGACGGTAGTAAAAGCAACGGCCATGCCATCATGTCGTTTAAGATATGCTGTTTGTGCCAAGAAAGGGCATCCACTGACATGGTGTTGGACAGTCTCCGTGAATTCATTGCAAAGTCGACATTTCATATTGATATTTTCTTTAAGAATCACATTTAGGCGATCGCGAGTGGGAAGTGACTGGTCCTGAGCAGCAAAAAGGAAGCCCTCAGTTTCACATTTAAGACCAGCCGACTTCATCCAGGCGAAGGAGTCGGTTGGATTGCTATTCTGTTCAACACACTGCATGTACACACGATGCAATGGCTTCTCAATGCAATCGTATCACGTCATAATATGATGCATGCAGAGCACGGAGTTTGAAAACCGTTCGATTAGCTGTTTTTGAGTTCACATTTATTTTACCGACTTTCACTGCTTTATTTAAACTATTTTATACATTGAATCGTTTGCACATTCAACTTAAAGGTCACTTGCAACGTAAAACACAACTTTGCAGATTCTGATACCTTTCATTATGGACTTACTGATACAAATCATCAAAAAATGCAAATTCAACTTATAAAGTTGAAAAAACCCGCGCGAAATCAGAGTTCAAACGATTCACTAATTTTCCCCAAGTGCTTGGGGGAATTCAAGTGGTTTCAACAGCTGGGCTGGGCTGCGCTCTTAGCACATGCGCAGTGAAATAGGTTCGCGCAGCTTGGAAACGGGTTGTTCGGTGAATACTCGGTGAAGGCTTTGGTGTGAGTTATTTTTCTAATGTTTTGTTGATATTTCACAGGCGCGAGCTTTTAATATGTTATGACATTAGAGTACCGATTTAACTGTTTATATAATTTCCTTTGTCTATTTCACCACACGTTCTTCTTACCGAGTCACTTTCTCAGTTCGATACTTAAAAGCAATGTCATTATTTAGCGTTGACACAATTTCTAACTGTGATATAGATTTGTCGTTGTCACAGACAAAACTCAATGTCTGTTTTATTGACACCTATATGTCTGCCTGCCTGTCTGCTAATGACAATATTCAATACACAACTTCGATCACTGACCACATGCAATTTGAACTTAACACCTATCAGGCTATACACCATAAACAAAACGCATTGATTTATGGCCCGAGTTTGGTTTCTGTCACATTATGTAATTACACAGACAGGCAGGTGTGATACTTGTACACATGACATGTTAAAATGTCTGTTGATTGCAAAATGTTATACACAAAAATGAGCATGTATTTACAAAACCCAACATCTCTGACAATGAGCTGTGAGGGCATCTGCAAATGAACCAGCCATTACGTCATTATGTCTTTTGTTGACCAGGCAAAATTCTCATATTCATTGAGTTTGTAATGATTTCATTTGATAAATTGTTGACATCCGTAGCTGACATGTAGGGGCATGGTCTCCCTTGCGATTTTTGTGACAAGACAAGACGATTATTTAAAAATGCAAATTTATTAGCAGAAACTAAACTTCTATACATCCTAGCACAATGACTAAGTTGTTAAATAAATCACATCATGAAAAATAATCACAAAATTTGTAACTGTATCCATCCTTGCTGAAATCGGAAGCACATACAGCATTGCAAACATCGAGGAAAAATAAGCAGGAGTTGGTAAACTACCATAAATACATTTAGATTCAAATTCCCTTGAAATGCAAAATTTATTGTATCACCTTCACTTTCTAATCACCTTCACTTGGTTACTATTAACTGACCTTGGTATCAACTGTAGTTGTCTTTTTGTATTTTGTTCACAATATTGCAGCCAGTGTGTAAGATGTTTTTTTCCCTCACAAATCCAAAGTTGTAATGGATTTCGCGGCCGATGAATTTCGAACCATGTTCTAACAAAAGGGTTGTGTTGTGTTGGATTGTTCTTTAACGCCGCACTCAGCAATATTCCGGCTATATGGCAGCGGTCTCTAAATAACTGAGACCAGACAACCCAGTGATCAACAGCACGAGTATCGATCTATGCAATTGGGATACAATGACGTGTCAAACCCAGTCAGCAAGCCTGACCACCCGAACCTGTTAGTCGCCTCTTACAACAAGCGGTTTATTCTCATAAAGTCACCAACTTGGTAAAACGCTAATCCCTACTGGGTGACTTCGTGCGAATTTCGCCAAATAGTCAATTATTGCAATTACGGGACATAATAGTCAGATTAAATTTACTAATCCGGATTATGCCCGAAGGTGATGGGGTGGGGGTGGGGGACAGATAATTGGAGCTCTTGTCTGGTAGCAGCAGGTAGACCAAGGGTAACATCTGACCGACGTCTGTAACAGCATGGATGGTGTGCAACTGGTAATATGTGAGGCGTCACATAAAACGTACCATCTGCAAAGAAGGTGTCGGCTTGACACAACTTCTCCAAGTTGGATGTGGTGGCGAATCCCAGGATCTTGTCCTCGTCCCCATCTTCAAATGCCAGGAACTGTTCCCCGCCTTCTGTTGTTTGGTACTGTTCAGGGATTACTAGGTCACGACGATGGGATGGTAGAGGAGGAAATGAGTTCTTCCTTGCTCTATACAGGGTGTCCTTCTTCATATGAAACGTAGGTAAGTTGCCAACAAGGGTGGCGTGTTCCTGTGTCCATTCATCACCCCGCATACTGTCTACCTCCTCCTGGAACAGCTGCGGCAGAGGTCTGATCGTGGCCTTGGCTTTTCTTTTAGTGTCTCCATGGTCTCTCTCACCTTGCTGTCGGTCTCCACTGGTGAGTGGTTGTGGTTCTGGGAGGGTCTGGCGAGGATATCACTGATGGTGGTACGGTCATATGGCAATCCTTGGTCATACATTTCCATACTAAGGTTTCATCACGTCTCCTTTTGTTGACTCTGTACATGAAACCACCCAAACAAAGATATCTGCCGTCTCTCGAAGTTGGGATGAACTTTTGTATTTGCCATGGTAGGACTTAGTGACGAAAGTGGTCCGGACCATCTATTTATATTTGTCATAAAATTGTTGAACAGAGTTCACTAATAAATGTTATGTAATTTACAGTTAACCGTTCAGCTCATTAGCGTCTCTCACTCGAGTGATCTACTGACTAATCTGTTAATCCCTAATCCGTTAATCCTGATTGGATTAGAAACTTCAAAGCAAAATCGCCAGTGACTTAGTGCGAATAGTGTTCCCCCTACTGGTGACTTCATGAGAAGACACCCAACAAGCATGGGTTACTGAAGTCCATCTCAACCAGGACCTTCATGGGTGCTGACAACAGGGTGATTGAAGATGTCGATGTGTGACCTTTTTCTGACAGAGGACCTGTTGTACACAGAAATTGAGCAAACTAGATTTATGGTAACTGGATCTTTTGGAATGATGGGATCAAGAAATACTAATCGTCTATATGAAATCATTTCACTCTAAAATCGGTATTTATTTTAGACATTAAAACAGGTAAACAGCAAATCTTTTGTTCTACATGTAGGAGCAAAATTGAAACAATTTGTTTGCCTCAGAAAGAATTTTTTTAAATTTATTTTAATCCACCCAGTTTTTCACATTGATTGATGTGTGTCCATTTAAAAATACAAGTGTACAGGTCAAGTGACATTTAGTCAGATTTAAATTTGGAAGTTGTTTTTTTTCCATATATATGCGGTGCTGAAAATATCAAACTCTTACAGTCCCTTAACAAAAGAGTGCTCAAGGTTGGACATTTATAAATTTAAAGAAGACTGTTGACATTTCTTTTTTTTTGTGATGGCAGAGACAATTTTA